TGAGGGGACATGTCTTTGCTTTTCCACAGAGACAAAAGTGGCAGCCTCAGAACCTATCACCTACAGGGGAGGGAGCTGGGGGAAGAATCACCCAGGAATGGAGGTGAAGGAGGAGGAATTTGCATGAAGGATAGTGTACTTAATAGAGAAGAAAGAGTGATGGTCAAGGCTGGATCCAGAAAGGAGGGAGGAAACAGGTCTTTGACTACCCCCCACCTCCATTTATTCATTTCAAAGAAAACTCCCAAGAGGAAGGAGCTCCTGGCCGAATCTATTCCCCAGCGAATACATATTCACTATTTTTAAAGTTATTTTTTCAGTTGTTCATTGCACTCTTAGGCGGAGTCGTTAATGGCTTGGAATTTATTTTTCGGAGATGAAAATAAACTTTATCCACTTCCTCTGAAACTATAGCTCTCCACTCTCTTGCTACTCTTCTTCCCCTAGATAAGCCCTTATTTCTCAACATCATCTTTAAAGCTTTACTCACTGCCCAGTGCACCAGACGTGTTGATCATGACTAGGGTAACCGTGCAATTTATTATCCAAACTGGGACTCTTTTGAAAGTCAAAGGAGGCTCTATTTATAATTACATTGTTAGAGCAGGCATGCTGGGACGAATGGTCACCCTAAGGACACTTGCTGTGACCATGGGTCTGCAAAAGGGCAACCACTTGCCCAAATGCTCACATTTGAGAATCATTTGTACTAGGAAAAATATATCACATCTGTAACTGAATCCTTCCTTGCTACTCAAAGTGTGACCTGTGGACCAGCAGCACGGGCACCACCCAGGGGCTGGTTAGAAGTGCAGACACTTGGGCCCTACTCTAGGCCTACAGAACCAGAATCTGCATTTTAACAAGATTCCCGCAGGTGATTTGGGTGCCCTTGCATTTGTATTAAACAAGCCTATAAGGTGAGTATGAGCCATCCTGAGGCCCCGATCACCTCTGGGCCTCCAGTTTGGCTTTCCCCAGGTTCCTGAACTCATGGCCTTAAAATTAACCCTCTATTACTTGAAATGACTTAAGTGACTCTCTGGTCCCTGAAACACAAAGGATCTTCTCAAAGTCAGACCACCACGGCTCGGGTAAATCTCTCATTTCAGCCCCGCCCCTCACTCCACCCCACGGCCCTAGGTTCACTCTGTGGATGTGATTGCCCAGGACAACCTGCCACCTTGTTCCTACACGTGGGCTTCTCTTTTTTCTCCGTGTAAGCCTTGTTTATCCCTATTCAAGCTTCTAGAGCTGTGCTGTCCAGTACAGTAGGCATTAGTCACCTGTAGTTATTGAGCTCTTGAAATACGGCTGGTCTGAATCGAGATGTGTTACCATGTAAAATATGCTGCAAATGTTGAAGAATGTAAAATATCTCAGAAATAATTTTTATATGTTGAAATGATAGTATCTTGGATATACTGGGTTTTATATACTGCGTTATATATACTGCGTTAAGGTAAAGTATTTTATTAAATTCGATTTCAACTTTAAAAAAAAATGTGGCTACTAGAAAACCTGAGATGACACATGTGGCTCACATGATACAGTCGACCCTTTAACAATGAGGGGGTCAGGGGTGCCCACCCTCCCCGCCGTTGAAAATCCATGTACAACTTAGAGTCAGCCCTCTGCACGTTCGTCGTTCCTCTGTGTCTGCGGTTCCACATTGCAGATTCAACCAACCTCAGACTGTGTAATACTGTGGTATTTACTATTAAAAAAGATCCCCATATAAGTGTACCTGCGAGGTTCAAACTCATATAGTTCAAGGGGCAACTGTATTTCTCTGGACAGTGTGGGGCTAGAGAACAGGCTGTGGCCCCTACGTTATACAGAAAGCTCCCAGAAAGCAGGCACCGCGTCTCTTCCCTACTCTGTGACCAGTCCTCTGGAGGTAGGTGAGTGTCAGGGCTGGCTACGCAAAGCCTTTCCAGGGCTCAGACTAGGGCTGCACAAGGTCATGAATGGTCCTGTCATGAAGATGCTTGCCCTCAAGGAGGAGTGTGCATGCTTCTTGGCCCTGGTTACCAAAGGAAATCAGAGGAGAAAGCTTTCTCCTCTATTCTCCACACAAGGATTTCCCTCTGCAAGTAGTTCTCAGGATATTAATGCCACGTTTGAACATCACAAGGTTACCATTTATTGAGTGCCTACTATTTGTCAGTGCTGCACTGATCTTTACACAACCCACGGGGCAGCCATTAGCATCAGTTTACGGAAAAGGAAATAAGGTTCGGAAAGGTTAATTTCCCCATAGTCAGAAATGAGTGGAGCTAAAATCCAAGACCGTTGGATAGCACTGCCTTCTAAACTTGACCATTAGGGGGTCAAAAGGCTCCATACATGAGTCATACTCTTAATTCCTGAAGCTCTGCTCTTTCTGAATAAGAAGCATAACTAAGAAGCAAAGCACAGGGAGCTGGCGAGAAGCAGGAGGGCTGCTGGATTCCCTTTGGAAGGGTTTGGGCTAGCCTGGCACCGTCAACAGCTTATCCACGGCATAAGAGACCAGAGTGGATCCTTCCAGGTCTATGGGGTAGTCCCAAACCACACATGGGCTGAAACTGGCCTCTGATGCAGAAGCAGAAGGTATACAGGGCCATTCACATTTAAAGGTACTGCAGCCTTTAGGTCATTCTCTACCTCCTAGGGTTAGAAGGCATAAAGCATCTTCGATGATCTCAAATTGAAACCAAAGGGGAGGGCGCAGGGCTGAGAGCCTTAGCCTTCTCTCATTTGCTATAGTTCTCCTGCCTTCTTTCTTTTCCTCTGCCCTGAGCACCATGACCTAATAAAAATTTTCCTGCTTAGTTGAGACATCAGATCTAATGTCCTCACTGATGGGAACAACAACAACAAACAAGGTTTCATACGACCTGGGTTTTATATAGCTCTCCTGTACTCCTAACCCACTCCATTCCTTTACAATGGATCACAAAAAACAAGGGCTAGCCCAGGTTGTAGAGACCACTGAATTCAAACCCTTTATTCTACAGAAACCGAGATCCAGAGTTTAAAGTCGCACATGGACTGGCAAAAGTTGGGACCAGAACCCTGAACCTCTGATTCCCCGTTTCCCCAGCTCCAAATAGAAAATCAGAAAAGGGGTGTTATAGACTACATTTTTGTGTCCCTACCCAAATTCATATGTTGAAGCCCTCACCCCACACAATGCCATTGTATTTGAAGACAGGGCCTGTGAGGAGGTGACAAAGGTTCAGTGAGGTCCTAAGGGTGGGGCCCTTAGAAGAAGAAGCAGCGACACGGGAGTTCCCTCTCTCTACCATGTGAGGACACAGCAAGAAGGCGGCTCTCTGCAAGCCAGGAAAAGAGCCTTCACCAGAAACCAAATCCTGCTGGACTGATCTTGAACGTCCAGCTTCCAGAACTGTGAGAAAATTCATCTCTGTTATTTAAGCCATGCAGTCTGTGGCATTTCGTATTGGCAGCCTGGGTTGACTAATACAAGGGGATAAAGTAATTTTTATTTGTGGGCCTCAGCTCAAAGTTTGGGCATTGAAAAGTGTGTACTGTAGGGGAAAGCACAGCATCAGAACTGGCCGAGACGAGGGTCATTCAGAGAGTGACCAGGGGCCACCTTCCATGTGCAATGCCCCAGCCCACAGGTACTTGAAGGCCATTAAAAGGAATGCGTCACTCAGTTAAAGAATTTGGGGAAAGTATCCAAACTATGCATATTCTATTCTGTGAAACAGCCTGTCTGTCCTTTCATGATGCAAGCGAACAAGAAAAACACTGGCCGAGGTACACCTCGCCCCCTTCTGGAACCTTCTCTGGCACACAGTGTCCCCTGAAAACCAGGTTGGGAGGATTGTTTTCTGAGAGAGGAGAAATGAGTCTGACCCTCTGGTTTATAAGCCCTTAGAAAGGCCTGGAAGGGTGGAGGGAACCTTGCCATATTTCTGAGGGTCTGACGAACCCACATGTCCTTTTAGACATCAGGGCTTTAAGCAGCAGCCAGTGGCCTGAACTGGAAATGTTCTCGCCAGTGGAGTGCCTTCAGCATGTGGGAGATACGCTGGCAGCAAAAGGAACAGTTTTACTTATGGTCAAATGTTTTCCTGGAATTTTTTAAGTTAATAAACTTAACAGAATTTTATTTAAGTACAAAGGAAAAAGAAGGCAAAATAACTAATCAGTGTTAACACACTTGTATGTTTATCTCCTATATATTTTTCTGAGTTTTACAAAGTTGTTTATGATGGGCATGTACTACTTTATAATGATGATAATAAACATTGCTCATTCTCTAAATAGTTCAGTATCTAGCATGTGCCAGGAAGTTTTCTAGATGCTGGAGATAACAGCAGTAAACAAGCTAAAGTCCTTCTTCTCCTAGAGCTTCCAGTTAGAGGCGGGGCTTGGGGGAGATAATCAAAGGGGAGGCAGTGACAGTCCCAGGAGAAGAATTTCGGGTGGAGTGAGAGGATGGCGAGTCCAGGGGATGAGGTGGTCAGAGAGGGTTCTCTAAGGAGGGGACGTCTGAGCAGAGACCTGAAGGAAGTGAGGGGCCGAGTCAGGGGCCGGGCTGCGGAAAGAGCTCTTCTTTACACAGGGAACGGCCGGGTGAAGGCCCTGAGGCTTTGCCCAAGGACAAGCAGAGGGCCAGTGTGACCACAGTGGAGCGAGCAGGGTGAGGAGTGGTAGGAGAAGGGTCTGGAGAGCCAGGCAGGAGCGGGATGCACTTTGTAAGGCCATGATGAGGAATCTGGTACCAGTCTCAGTGTGAGGGGAAGCGAGGGGAAGGCTGGAGCAGAAAGGGAGGTGGTGTGTAGTCTGACATTGTCTCCTGGGATGCCTCCCTTGTTCCAGGGACCACATTGCCCCCATCACACTAACAGGTCCTGAGTTCCGGGATGGGGATGCTTTCTCTTGTGCGTCCCTCTCCCAAGAGAGGGCTGAGGCAGGAGCTGCAGGCCTTGGGGAAACTGATGGCTCATTTCTCCCCAGGGCTTTCACCTCTTGGGACTCACCTTCTACTGTCAACTCCACTGTCACCTGGCGGGCACCACTACCATTGGTGGCTTCACAGGTATACTTTCCCTTGTCCTCCTCACGGACAGCATGAATCACAAGGCTGAAAGTCCCCCGGGTACCACAGTCCAGCAGGAAGCGGCCCCCACCGGCAATGGGTTGCCCGTTTCTGTGCCATGTCACTTGGGGCTCTGGGTAACCCCGGACCTTCAAGGAAAAGAAGAAAGGGTGAGAGCTTGTACATAAAGAGTACCTCCCATGTGGCAGGTATTGTTCTGGGTGCTTTACATGTATTAACTCTTTTAATCCTCATAACATCCCCTGCAACAAATACTATTTTCATGTCCATTTTGGAGACGAGGAGATTGAGATGCAGGGTTTTGGTAGATTTCTCGAGGTCTTGAAGGTAGCAAGTGGCCGAGTCAGGCATCCTGGCTCCACAGCCCACCACACAAGTGTCTCTCAAGCCTGGATGCAGGATTAGAATCACCAGGGGGAGATTTAAAGCCATACTAGTGCCCAGGTCCAACCTTGGACCAATTAAATCAGAACCCCAGTGTGTGGGGACCGAGCATGGGGATTCTAGAGCAGTGCTTCCTACTCTAACATGAATCACTTGTTAAAAATGCAGATTCTGCTTCTATAGGTTTGGGGTAGGCCTGAGATTCTGCAGTTCAGACAAGCTCTCAGATGATGCTGAGGCTGCTGGTCCCTAGAACTCACCTTGGGTAGCAAGGTTCTAGATCTGAGCTGCCCAGTAATGGCAGCCGCTAGCCACAAACGGCAGCTGAGCGCTTGAAACGTGGCGGATCCTGAGTTGCACCGTAACTGCACTGTGAATGTAAATTATACGTGGGGTTTTGAAGAGTTAGTATGAAAAGAGAATGTGAACTACCTCAATAATTTAAAAATACTGATTACATATTGAAAAGATAGTCATTTTGATATACTGGGTTAAATAAAATATATTGTTAAAACTACTTTCACTTGTTTCTCTTTACTTTTTTAATGTGGCTACTAGGAAAGGTACAGCTACATACATGCCTTGCGTGATGTTTCTATCAGGCAGTGCTGCCCTAGACCACTCTTTCTCTACAAATAGTTAGCAGCTAACATCTGTTGAGCGCTAAGTGTTGAGCACTTTTCTAAATACTTAGCATATCTGAGCCTCACAGCAACTTGTTCAGAGAGAAGATATTTTCCCAAAGAGGGGAAAATGCAGAGAGAGACAAATTCCAGGAAATCACCTTGAGTTTCAGAGACAGTTCCCCAAGGGCGCTGAAACCCCTGAAACTCAACAGGCCCTTTGGAATGGACTCATCTTCGGAGGAGCAGGGCTCAGACTGGCCCGTCAGTGCACAGCCTGGGACCTGAACTGGGGGATTTTAGCACTGGAAAAGCACAGAAGACATCACAGAAACCTCCTGAGAGAGAAATTGCTGGCGGTACAAACAGGTTGTAACAGTAGCTTTTATCCACGGATCCACTCCAAGACAAGAGAGCACAGATACAGATGAAGCCAACCCCAAATTCTCTGGATGACCCCAAATTACATTTACAAAGAAAGCCTTCAGTGACCCACAGCAATACTCCTCCTATACGCCCCAGCAAGGTCAGAGAGGATGCCTTATCAGCACGTGGGAGAAAGGGGAGGGGAGGTGGCTGTGCCGTCACGCCTGGCCATTGCAGCTTCACCAAGCACGTACCCTACCTCAGGGTGATGCTGTTGAAGGGGACTACGTGCATATTATAATGCCTACTATAATATGAAACAAAGTGTCAACAGCGATTGCCTCTAGGTCTCTCTTTTCCTTTTACTTAACTGTCATTTTCTGATATTCCTGCAAATAACACCCCTGACCTTTGTAAAACAGAAAAAAAATTAAATGAAAATATGTGTTCCTTTTATATTCGTGTGCCTGTATAATGAATGTATAGCACAACCATTCATTAATCTGTGGAGCCCCTCAGGGTACTTAAATCTAGAAATGGAAATAAAAGTGGTACACAAAAAACATTATGCATGTTTGAAGGCAGCAAATGCCACATATCTGTATAAAACACATCACCTTGTGGCACTATCTTGGCACAAAGGTTCATGCCCAGGAATATCAGAAAATCACTGTGTTAAAGCATTCTTTTTCTCTGTGAAAGCATATTTTCAGGAAACAACTAAGGAAAGAAACTCTTTCCTACAGAAGGAAGCCCCTTGGGAGTCTGGTCCTATAGTGAATCTGCAAATCATCATCATCTCCTCCATCCTGTCAGGCAGAGTCAGCCTCACCTCCAGATGACCAGGAGGCCTTCTGTCAGCGTCAGAGAAAGGCAGTGCAGAACCCTGGGACTGGGAGGAGATGAATCATTAACTTCACCAAAGGCGTCCTTAGCATTCCACGAGCAAGTACTCTGGCCCCCTGCAGCGGTGCCAACTCTGTGGCCACCAGGGCCTGAGGCGTCAATGTTTAACTGGGGACATTACAAGTGCTCCAGACCTCAGGGACACAGATCCCTCTTTCCCTTTCCATTTTCCTCTCATTTTCAATTTTTATTTATTTAATTTATCCTGGTTGCACCAGGTCTCAGTTGTGGCATGTGTGCTCCTTAGTTGCAGCATGCATGTGAGATCTAGTTCCCTGCCCAGGGATCGAACCCAAGTCCCCTGTGTTGGAGGGTGGGTTCTTAACCACTGCACCACCAGGGAAGTCCCTCTCATTTTCTCCATACATATACATTCCCCTCCACCCCACACCAACAGATCCACCTTTGCAGCACGCTTATATATTAAAATACCCAGTGATTTTTAAACACGCTGAAATTGGTACCACTTAGAAAGCTGTGGTTTGCAATGGACTTTTGTACACCCTGCATCTGAAGCAAAGGCAGGAATTTCTATGACCTTTTTCCGCTCCAAGGTCTGAATGATTTTCAGCTCCAATTCTTATCCTCTTAATAATGAAAAACTTGTTCAACCACTACCTAACGTTACCTAAAAATTACTCAACTTCAAGTAAACTCATTTTTATTGCTGGCCCACTATCCTGGGCTCCTGGGTGGGGAAAGAAGAGAAGTCTGGACTCACACCCGTGGTTGTGTGACAGCAGCCCTGCCCTCCCTGGACACCTTATCTGCCTTCACCATGGGCCTTCCACCAAGAAGCCACAGATGGGGGATTTCTTACAGCCCAGTCTAAGACCACAGTAAAAACCCAGTGATACTTTAGTTTTCAGAGGTCTTCCACATATAGAATCTTATTTGATTCTTGCAACACTACAAGGGAGGTGTCTTGGGTTGGGTTCCCAGGAAGCAGAACCTGAGATAGGGATTCAGGAACCCAGGTCTTAGTCAACAATCAGAGCAGCTGGGAATGGGTGTAGCAGCCTGGTGCAGGGGATCTGAGTGGGGTACCAAAAGTGTCTGTGACGGCATGCAATGCCAATCATATTATTAAGCCCAGAGAGCAAAGGAAAGAGGCCTGGAGAAGTGGATGATTTGCCAGCAGTAAAATGGCAGATCTGGGACCACAATTTTGGTCTCCAAGTTGAGTGGCTGTCTCTCTGTGCTTCGCTGTAAATTCATTTTTTTGGTGACATAAATATTATAGAATCCAAAGCATTAATAAAGGTCTATCTCTAATAGACCCTAAGCCGCCTCTAGGCTACAGTAATATCTGCTCCCCACTTTGGGAGAAAGCCAAAGAACTCACAAAAGTCATGGCCATCCCATAAGCAAGTCTTGGGCTGTTTCCCTGGAGTAACAGGAGGACAGTGCTATAGACTGAATGTGTCTCTCCAAAGTTCATGTCGAAATCCTAACCCTTAATGTGATTATATCGGGAGATGGGGACTTTGGGGTGATTAGGTCAGAAGGGTGGAACCCTCATGAATGGGATTAGTGCCCTTACAAAAGAGATCCCAGAGAGTTCCCTCACCCCTTCTACCGTGTGAGGACAGAGTGAGAAGCTGGCCAGCTATGAAGCAGGAACCGGACCTCTCCAGACACTGAATCTGCTGGTGCTTTGATTTTGGACTTCCCAGCCTCCAAACATGTGAGAAATAAATTTCTGTTGTTGAAACCACCCCACCTGTGGTATTTCTGTTATAGCAGAAATACCCCAGTGGGCTAAGATAGACAGGGATGGGTGCCATGCACATGCCCAAGACACGCCTAGGAAAGTCAGTGTGGAACAGAGAAGACAGTGTAAGAGCCAGGCCTGAGTCCTGGGTCTGACTTGTCTTCCTAGCCTCTTCAGGTTGTAATTCCTTCCTTTCATGGAAGAGAAAACAGCTCTTGATAGCTCAGGCTCCTTCCATTCCTGAAATAGTCTGGATCTAAATAGTGACCCACTTAGCTTCTGGGGGAAGATTCTTTCCTCTCCCTCCAGTCTACCCTGGGCCCCAGCCCACAGCCTTAATACTCTCTAATCCTCCATAAGGGAAAATCAAGTGACCACAAGGAAGAAGGCTTGTGAACATGAGTGGGCAGCCCTGACTTGTCACCATAATGAGTTTTTGGAAATGGCCCCAAAGAGGGTCATTCTAAGGAGAATCATATTTTTGCCACAGTAAACCACATTTAATTGGAGGTTGTGCTCTTGAACAAAAGCCTGGGATCAAGTAAATCAAGGGCATAGCTGACAATCTGTCATACAAATAAAGATATAGTAACCATAACCCCTATAATAATTTAAAATAGTAAAATTGTGCTCCAGTGCCATAAAATGTCCCCAGAGACTTTACGGCCTCAAAAGGCCTTTAAAAGGAATGGGGGCTCATTCTGTGTGTGTTGGATGGTGAGGCGAAAGCTGGGCTGCAGGCGGGCAGCTGCTCACTGCCATGTCACACCAGCTGGCCGTGCTGGAGAGTTTTTCAGAACCTGGTGCTGTCTCAAGATCTACTTAATGATTGAAAGTGAAATATTCTTAAGGGTACTGTCTCTTCATTTTTCTCTGATGTGTGTGAAGGGCTTGCAGTTACTTCCAGTTTGCCCAGGACAGGCTACCAGAGCATAAGCCCAGAACAAGGCCAGGTTCTCTGGCCTTCACAACCCTACAAGACTCAGAGCAACACATCTGCCTTCTCAGCTCGGTGAGTGGTAGAAAGGGGGTGATTTTGCTGTTTTTGATGATCTCCTGCACGTCTTTTGTTCCCGGGTGGGCCTGTCCCTGTTTGCACAATGCGAGCCCACACAGCTGCAGTGCAGAGCTGGGC